TTTAGCTTACCGCTCCTAACACTACAGTACATTTTTGTCACAATACTTACATTTAGTTAAATCAGTCCTCTATATGAAATTCGGATTATAATAAGGGATTACCCTACACATATAATCAATAGGAGCCAGAGAGACCTTTGCACTGTGAACAGCATTTCACTGTGGAGTTGTAATTAAAATGGTGTTACATACCTGCTGCTTAAGGCTATCATCATGCTCAAGACATGACAGCTAGCACTGTATTTCAGCAATATTCACTGCTATCTGAATCAGTCTAAACAAACTACACACTGAAATTCCTTTTCATATATTTGTCATTGGAAACTATCTTGCAAAAACCTATTTGCTGTGCATGATTTCTCTTGCTGACAGAAGTGTTAAAATATACCATCAAAGTATTATACCAAGCGATGGGTACTTTAGGTTCAGTTCATTTTCATGGGAATTCCAGAAGACTACTTCTACAGATGAAGCAAAGGTTTAATAGCTAGCAGGCATGTACCTCTCTTCTATTGCTGGCTTTCATCTTCCTAATGAAGTAATGACCAGAGTGATAAACCTTAGAAAAACATATGAGATAGAGTCTATAGAGCGGTTTTCAGAAAATTATGTGCAGCAAGCTAACAGTTTAACCTGTGTCCCCAAAGGATTACTTCAACACTGTATTTTAAAAACTAAGGGCTGTTCTCCACAGTGCAGGGAGCACCACTGTTTTGTCCAGTCATATTCTGGCAGCTATTCAGACAGGACTTCTTTTTTTAAATTGTGTTTACTCACCTTTAAGTTTGTGATTGTCGTTTTATTTTTTTCCATTGAAATAATAAACTTTGCATTAAGGTCTTTCTCCCTGAAAGAAAACGAGACTTGAGTATGTTAAATAAAACATATCACAATAATCCACAGTCATATTTTCACTCAATAGGTTGCTTGCCACAGTCAATTATCAAGTTAATTAATTTTTCTTTCACATTTTAATTGTTGTGACCAATGTTTATTTATTGCTATGGGATATATTTGAAGTACTTGGGCTCGCCTCCAAATCCCTTCACCTAGAAACAGAGCAACCGCTTGGGGAAACCTGCTTCAGAAGTTTGACTCTGCAAGTCAGTTAAGTGGTTTGTTCTTAATTTGAAGTACTCTGATCCAAAGCCCAGTGAAGTCAATTATGTGGCTCTAAGGAACTGCGAAACAGAACGTTACAAGATAAGCCCCAGCCTCTCACCACCATCCTAGTAGCAGTAGTCCCCATTTACCCATATGGCCTCGGTAACAAGGACCAAGTATTTAAACCACAAAACCCCAGTATTTTAAAATTCTCTTAGAAATGAGGTACCCAACAGATTTTTTCAGCTGTAATGCATCCTGGCAGAGCAGGAGAGAGGCTCTGCTACTAAGGGAGCATTACGCAGGTTTGTTGCTTCCCAGAACACAACGATTCCAGGGAGAAAAAAAGTCCAGTTCTGCAGCAGTGTTCTCATGCACCCGCATCTATTTCACAGCAGAGTTGTTTCTGACTGTCTTCAAAACTATCATAAAAATCGTTAGCTTAGTGTCTAAAACCAGCATGTATCAACCTGCTTGCTAGAGATGGGATTTCATTACAGCTAGTCATAAGAGTAATACAGGCTGCTCTTGAATGACAACCTCGAGCATAACATCTCCTGTGTTATTAAAAACACGCACATAAAAAAGAGCCAGAAGAGGAAGACTGCTATATACACCGTACAAAACCTCGCTCCCCAAATGCTAACAGACACGCCTGCTCCAAACCCATCTGCTAAGTCGCCTGTCAAACGGGTGTGCTCGACTGGTGCAAAGGAAAGCAGAGGGCTTTAAAGGAATTAAGTGCTGCTTTAGCATACTGCACGGCATCTCAGCAATAATTGGATATCCGCTTCCACCAACGAAAAATGAAAGAGAAAACATCTTCCTGGTAACAGGAGACCCGAGTTCAGGATTTTAGTGTGACATTTTCTTCCCCTGGTGCACTGGATCACCCAACTCTATGTTCGTCAGCTGACTGTGCAGCCACCCTCGATTCACATTCCGTTTTCCAGCAGAAATTCTAAAGAAAAGCAAAGACCCATTCTGAAATACACATTAATGAATAAAGATCAGGCAAATAAAAGTGCTTATTTAAATATCAACACATTAAGTTATTTTCTACGCTAATAAAATATATAATTGTAATAATTACAGCATTAATTATACAACTGAATTTAGATCTACCATAGAAAAACGTTAGAGGCATGCCTGAAGAGATGCCTCTTACTCATTTCCATGTCATCCTTAGTAGCTTTTACTAGGTCTACACTTACGAGACTGAAATACTAAAATACAGCTACGGGTAATAAACAGGGAAATGGAGAAGTTTCCAGTAGTATGTTTTAGTAGGAAATAGATTTTGACATGGCAGTAATGCAGCCCAGGGATGGCTACTGTTCATCCTGCTTCCTCAACAGTCTCTACCTGTCTGTAACTATTTGCTCAGCGAAGGTGTAATTTCATAGTAATATCTTACTATGAAAATTGGTTTCAAATATAATCTGTAACCTGCTTCCTCTAGAAAGTTTGAAAGGACCCTAGGTGGGAAGAAGTTTGGGCCAGAACTATTGCTTTTTTGTCTGGATTTCTCCATGCTTGAGGTGTATGAGGGGAAGTAATAAAACACATTGGTGCTTTCTTTCCCAGACCTAGCCAGCTCTCCATGTTACAAAACCTAAAGCTACTCAATAATCGAAAACCGATACAAAAATGTTTGAAGTCTAACACCCATATATGAACCACACAAAATTCTGAGAAGCACGCAGTCATTAATTTTTGTGATAACACTGATAATAATATTACTAAACATTATTAAACAATAAGGATTTCAAAGTAAAAAAAAAAGGCCTTGTAAAGCCATAGCCAATAAAAAAAATCGTAAATACAATTTTGCATTTTTGTAGGGGAAGGGATAGGGAGAGGACAACCTGAAACAGGAATACTATGATCAGAATCAATAAGCCAACCTGAGAGAAGTGAAAAGAATTAACAGGAATCAAATGCTAAAGCTTCATTTTAATATGAGACAGCCGAGTATAATTTATTGTACACATAAAGAGTTTGAGAGGATCCCATAAAAACAATTGCTTGCATGATGCCAGTGATTTCCAGGCACTCATTTAATGCAGTTCAG